CTCTGAAATAGAGAATGATGACCATTTTTTAGAGATTCAGACACACCCCAGCACTTTTATCAATACACCATATCCCACAAGAGCAAAAAAAAGAACTCTAAGCCCAGAGGAAAACGGAGTGGCAGAAGAGAACAAAAAAGAGAGACTAGAAAGATAAAAAATACCCTTAAAGAATCAGATGTTGGCATTTTTAACCTATCTAATAAAGTTTTAAGTGCAGCACAGATTTCTGTTTTAAGTAAAGGATTAAAATATGCACCTACTAATTCTTTTAAACCATTTGAAGCCTTTTTAGATGTAAATAAGTTCGTACGTAAGGCCACACTAAAAAGATTTTTTTCAGTACAAACCTCAGAAACTAACCCTTCTCTTCCTTATCCCTCTACACCTACTGATCAATCTTCTTTTATCAATACTAATCTTAAACCAAAATCTACATTTTACCCTTACCATTTTAAATCAGCCCCATTGGTGATGTTTGAGAAATCTGTTCTGAAAGATCTCAACAAAATCAAATTTAATAAATACGATCTTCAAAATTTAAACATCGCAGAAAAAACAGCTATTAAACAACTCCAAGAGGATAAAGATATAGTGATCAAACCGGCCGATAAGGGTGGAGGTCTTGTTATACAGTCTACTGATATGTACATCAAAGAAGCTTACAATCAATTAAATGATATTGATGTATACGAGAAATTAAACAAAGATCCTACCTCCAATATACAGCAGAAACTAATCACTTTTTTACAAAAAGGTTTAAATGATAATATTTTGAACAAAAAAGAATTCGATTATTTATTTATTAAGAATCCTAAAATTCCGGTTATTTATTTTCTACCCAAAATTCATAAAGACGCTAAACATCCCCCAGGGAGACCGATAGTATCTGGGATAAACTCCCCTTTGTGCAACTTATCTCAGTATATTGACATCCTACTTCAACCGTCAGTTAAACGAATGAGGTCCTATTTAAAGGACTCTATGTCATTACTGAGATTTTTAAATGGATTTGAATGGAAGTCAGACTTTATACTTGTTTCCTGTGATGTCACATCCCTGTATACTATTATCCCACACCAACTTGGATTCAATGCAGTCAGAACCATTCTATCCAATGAAAATAACATTCCTACTGCCCAGATTGATTTTATTGTAGATGGTATTAGTATTATTCTAAACAATAACTATTTCTGGTTTTATGACTCTTTTTATCTCCAGAAGAGAGGGACTGCTATGGGGACTAGGTTTGCTCCCAGCTATGCCAACCTCTTTATGGCGGATTGGGAAACATCCGCCATTTGGGGACGGCATGCCTGGGAGCATAATCTAGTCTCCTATTTTAGATACATTGATGACTTGTTTTTTTATATGGAAGGGCCCAGAAGATTGTCTAAATACTTTTATATCACACCTCAATTCTAATAATAGAGGCATTATTCTGACTTGCGAATATAGTACTAATTCAATTAATTTTTTAGACTTAAATATTTTTATTCAAGATGGCAAAATACATACAAAAACATTTTTTAAGAAAGTATGTACCAACACTGCAATTGATCAAACTAGTTGCCACTATAAACCATGGCTTGAAAGTGCTCCAAAAAGCCAATTTTTAAGAATATGGCGCAATTGCTCTCAAATAAATGATTTTAACGAACAATCACTGCTTTTAAAAAAACAATTCATTGAAAAGAATTATTCCTGTACTCTTCTTGATAATACCATAGACACAGTCAGAAACAAACCTAGAGAAAGCCTTTTAACATACAAGAACAAGAATAATTTAGAAACTCCCACTCTCCCTATAATTTTTAACTATAATAATAAAAGTGGTTTTATTAAAAAAACTATTAAAAAACATTGGCATCTCTTAAGACAAGATGATCTGCTTAAAGAAATTTTACCTGTACAGCCAAAAATTGTTTTTAGAGGGGCACCGAATTTTAGATCCATTTTAACTAACAATTATACCAAAGCAACCAAAAATACTCATCATACGTTTTTAGATGGTGCAAAAGGCTTTTATAAATGTAAACGTTGCACCGTATGTAAAAACACTGATCTAACAACTAAATCAAAAACTACTAATTTCAAGTCCAACCAAACAAATAAAAGTTATACTATAAGAGACTTCATCGGTTGTAATACTACTAATGTTATCTACCTATTGGAGTGCCCTTGTGGCCTCCAATATGTGGGTATGACCACCAGGTGTCTTAAGATAAGACTAGCAGAACATTGTAGGAACATTAGAAATGGGTACCTAAACCACTCTGTATCTAAGCACTTTATTAACCACAACCAAGATCCTAAATTTCTCAAATGCTTAGGAATTCAGAAATGCCAAGTGCCGTGGAGAGGTGGCAACATAAAAAATATTTTTGGTAGATCAGAGATGGAATGGGTATATAACTTACAAACCCTTACACCCCAAGGTCTTAATGTGGATTTTGATTTATTTAATTTTTTATAATAACTTTTTAGCACTTTTATAATTCTGTACCTTTAAATCTTAACTTTTCATTTTTATGTATTGGTATTATTAACATTATTATCATGGATTTATTATTGTATGCTCTTTCATTCATCTTACAGCTTTTAGCTTTTAATTTTATTTATTTGTATTAATTAGGCAATTTATAGTGTACTGATTATATTGATTCTACAAATATTTTATTTAATTCAATGTTCCAACCATATATATATCTAACTTCTATGTTTTAAAAGCATGTAAGCTATTTTTCTTCTTATTTGTTGCTGTTTTCGGCTTAATATGTATGAACTACATTTCCCAGCATTATTTTGTCTCTAGTCACGTGGTCCGCTGTAATATGCCGTCGCGGGTCACGTGACAGAGCCTAATCCCGCCTTGCCGCATCTGTGTCCTGTGCGTGCCGTTCCTTCCAGCTCTGGCCGCACGGACTGTATGCAGAACAGCGGTCACGTGACCGGGCACTACACATCCCATAGTGCAGTGCGGGTCACGTGACACGCACGAATGCGGAAATACTTATCCCACACTTCTTTTTACATTAAATAATGCTCGTTTTTATCCTATTTTTATATATATAATATCTCATGTCTATATATATCAATATTGTATATTATTTTCTAACTTTTGAATGTATACTTTTTATTCACATTTTGTATTACTCTGATTGGCTGTTCATTTTTTGGCGCCAATTTTAAGTGTTTGTATTAGCTATATAAACTCCTTATGTGCCAGGTACTTATACTATCCCAATTTGATAAAGCCTTTTGGCGAAACGCGTTATTGGTTTTATACATATTATACTAATAAATAATTTTATATTTATCATCTATTATCTATTTCTATTCCTAATTTTATACACTGTTCCTGGCATATCCTAAGGTGGGGATCATACCACCCACGCGAAAAATTGAGTGCAGATTTACCTGCACTCTACTTGTGAGTATATTTTATTTATTTTTATTCTTTTTAACTACTACCTCACCAGAGAGCACTATTGGCTGTTTTTATTTTTTCTTTCCTTGAGAATTGAACACCAGGACTCTCCAAGAGGATAAGCACCCCCATAAGCGGAGGGTTATCCGCCGTGTGCCCATCATACTAGAGCTGGTTCTAGCTCTTGGAAATGTGAGTGTGTTATTTATATTTTATTTTATAATTACAAATCTATACACTCTGCACAATTGGCTTTTTCTCATTGTGTCTTCCATATCGTGAGACGGACAATCATTGTTAAAGAAGACATCATACAAGTTAAGACATCATCCATTACTGGGACTCTTCTATTAGAACATTTTTTTATTTGGACTTGCTTTTATTACTCTCCTGGCGCAGCCTTATTTTTTGCTTTTACTAGAGGCTTTAGAGGCTGGATTAACCTATTTATAAACTGCTATGTTTATAACAAAAAGGGTTAATCCTAGAGGGACCTGGCACCCAGACCACTTCATTAAGCTGAAGTGGTCTGGGTGCCTAGAGTGGTCCTTTAATCCTATTGCTCATCTGTGGGATGTCCTGGAACAACAAACCCATTCCATGGAGGCCCTACCTTGCTACTTGTAGGGCTTAAAGAATCTGCTGCCAATGTCTCGGTACTAGATACCACAGAAAACTTGTGGAGTCCATGCCTACACATCAAAGCTATTATGGTAGGACAAGGGAGACCTACACGATATCAGGCATGTGATTTTAATATTGTTTCTGATTGGTGTATACGTAAAACTGTGTATGTTTAGCTATTTGTGTACGTATTCCAGTAGAACCGTGCATGCATGCATGTAAATGACTAAATAATACATACCTTGCTAGATATGTGGTTGATCTCTTATGTGTGAATGTGATAGATTGTATAGTTAATTAAAGGGACACATTGGATAAATATTAAATGCATAACTGATTGTGAATACTGGCGATTATTGGAATGATGTGTAAACTTGTTCCCAGAAAGTGCTGGAAAGTGGAGAAGGGAAAAGAAAGTCAGAGATCAGGTATCAGTCTCTACTGATATAGGACAGAGAGTGGGAGAGGGAGGATTTGGTAAGAGTGAGATAGAAGGGATGAGTACAATGAGAATGGTCATATTGTGGAAGCACAGTTATGGAGACATGTATAAGACTGGCTAAGGACTTGCATTTGTATCATTGACATAAGATGCCAGTGATGGGATTTGCAAGGTGGAACCGCAGAAAAAGGAACAATATGGGACACTGAGCAACAGAATTTTCGTAGAGTCTGTTGAAACAAATTGATAGTTAGTATAACAGAAATATCAAACAATAAATGTTATCCATGCACTAGGAGAGGAACCATCAATTTCAAGGGTTTTTAATAGTATGTCTAAGTATCCCTATATTTAATAACATAGGTTAAAGGTGTCCGTGAGTTCTAAAAAACAAATTAATGTAACATTCTACATCATTGTATTTGCCTCTTATTTCCAGTAATGTGATGATTCCATTTTAGATTAACCAGGTCAAGACGATATATATTTTCATAAATGTCATACTTACTTTGGAAAAGTCTTGTATAATAATCCATCAACTCCCACTGTGACCTTTTGCTTTGTTCTGGGATGTTTTTTCTGTATATGTTCGATAACTGCAGCCAGGCCAGCTCCACATAGTGAGGCAGAGCGGCAAAACACTGCGTCGCACACACGCTTCATCCAATCACAATCCTGATCAGTTGGAACAAACCCTAGTGATGTTAGTAATTCCTGGGCTCTAAACTTACCCTCGGGATCTCTGCAAGAGAAACATCATTATAATAAATGTGAGACTGTACATTTTGTCAGAAATAAAGAAATCAGTGAAAAAGCTACTACAAGTGTTTACGTCAGTGTTTTTAAGTGGTCATGGTGCAAGTTCAATGTATGTTCAAGGTTTCAGTATAAAATGCTGCATGTACTTAGATATTTAAAGGAGCACTCCAAGCACCATAACCACATACATGTTCAGCTGCATGTGCATAGAATGTATGTGCTATATTTATATAGAATGTACAATTGTGCCCAAAGGTTTGAATACCCTTGGAGAATTGGTAATATATGTACCAAAAAAACATGAGTGAGCAGGCAAAACACATTTCTTTTATTTCTTATGGGTTTCATATTAAACTGTAGGTTATAACAGGATGGCACAATCATAAAAAACAAATCACTAAGCCCTCAATGAACACTATCCTAGTATCCTACTTTTCTACCCTACCTTTACCTTTTGTGTCACATTACCCCACTCCCTCTAGCATATAAGCTCATTGAGCAGGGCCCTCAATCCCTCTGTTCCAGTGCGTCAAACTTGTCTGGTTACAACTACATGTCTGTTTGCCCACCTGTTGTACAGCGCTACTGAACTTGTTGGCACTTTATAATTAATAATAATAATAAAACAAAACATGGCAACAAAGACAAAAATGAAATGAACCCCATTTAAAAGTCTGCATAACTTTAGTTTCTTAATACTGTGTATTGCCCCCTTTAGCATCAATAACAGCGTGCAGTCTTTTGCAATAGTTGTCTATGAGGCCCCTAATTCTTTCAGGTGGTATAGCTGCCCATTCGTCTTGGCAAATTGCCAAAGTCTTTGGTCGTCATGCATGAACCGCACGTTTGAGATCTCCATAGTGTGGCTCGATGATTAAGGTCAGGAGACTGTGATGGCCACTTCAGAACCTTCACCTTTTTCTGCTGTAATCACTGGAGGGTCAACTTGGCCTTGTGCTTACGGTCATTGTCATGCTGGAAAGTCCAAGAACGTTCCATGCGCAGCCTTCATGCAGAAGAATGCAAACTGACTGCCAGTATTTTCTGATAACAAGCTGCATTCATCTTGCCATCGATTTTTACAATATTCCCTATGCCTTTAGAGCTCACCCCCCCAAAAACATCAGTGAGCCACCACCATGCTTCACAGTGGGGATGGTATTCTTTTCACTATAGGCCTTGCTGACCCCTCTACAAACATAGCGCTTATGGTTATGACCATAAAGCTATATTTTAGTCTCGTTACTCTAAATTACAGTGTGCCAGAAGCTGTGAGGTGTGTCAAGGTGTTGTTGGGCATACTCTAACTGGGCTTTTTTGTGGCATTGGCGCAGTAAAGGTTTCTTTTTGACGACTCGACAATGCAGCTCATTTTTGTTCAAGTACCGTCGTATTGTGCTCCTTGAAACGACCACATCATCTTTTTCCAGATCAGTCTGTATTTCTCCTGAGGTTGTCTGTGGGTTTTTCTTTGTATCCCAAACAATTCTTCTAGCAGTGTGGCTGAAATCTTTCTTGGTCTTGCTGACGTCTTCGTAAGTGATTAAACAGTACTGACTGGCATTTTAAAGGCTTTGCATATCTTTTTATATCCTTTTCCATCTTTATAAAGTTCCATTACCTTGTTACGCAGGTCTTTTGACAGTTCTTTTCTGCTTGCCATGGCCCAGTATCTAGCCTGCATGTATGTACAATGCATGTGCTACATGTATATAGAATGTATATGATATACACAGGATACCAAAGCTATCTTCCAAACAGCTTAACAATCAAAATGAATAAAAGCCCTTTTCTTAATTTTGTCCTTTCAACCGTTTAGTAACTAACTCCTAATTTCAGTATCCTTTAATATGTCAATCCCTCATAAAGATACCAAATTAGAGAGTCATCTTCTAAACAACTAAAAGTTCAAAATTAAGAAAAGCCATTTTCCTAATATTGTTTATTCAGCTTTTTAGTGGTTAGTTCTTTAATTTGCTATGAATGTACATGAATGCATGAATAAACGAATTGCGCATGGAAGAATGTAGTTAATTGTATGATTAGTTCATTTCTCCATTGTGCCATTTAGAGATTCGGAGTTCAGGCAGGAATGGTCGGATGAGCCAATTGCAATTCTTCTGAAATGGAATGCTAAAGTCTACGTGTAAATGAGTTCTGTTTTAACAATAGATAAACTTTATGCTTTTTGAAAGCAATCTAAAACACATAGGTTTAAATGGACTGAATGGAAACTGCACACTCTTAGGAAGAACATACAGGAATATATTTTAAAGTAGATGAGTCATACATTGCTTATCATAAAGCTTCCAAACAACAAAAACTGAATTAAAATCTTTGAATATACCACCTTGTTTATGCTTTGAGTCCTTCGTCAAAGTTCACCTACCACTATTGCCAAAACCTAATCTACTGATAGTTCCTATGCAATAATTCCTTACAACAGTAACCCTAAACTCATTGCAAAATTACAAGAGCTTGTATATTTTCTTCCCCACAATCTTTATTTTAGATCTTCAAAGGAAAAGGTTCCATATTAGCATCATTTAAGGTTAGATCGTTATACTTTCATGTTGACAACAGAAAACCAAGTTGATGTTAAAGAGACACTATAGTCACCAGAACCACTATAGCTTTGTGTAGTTGTTCTGATGAGTACAGTCAGTCCCTGTAGGCATATTAGTATAAGCACTGCCTTTTCAGAGCAGTGCTTCCTGGGGCAGTGCTGCACATTGTGCATCACTGACATTCAGTGTCTCCACATTGATTCAATGCATCTCAATGAGGAGTTGCTGATTGGACAGGCGGCGTTTGGTTTTGCCACCCTGGCCCTCCTCCTTGACTGAGATCATCAGAATTGACCAGCTTAGTTAATCCTATGGGAAAGCATTGTGACTGGCTGAGATCATCACTTCTGGTGATGTCAGCTAAGGAGGCAGATCACGGGCAGAGCCAGAACCAGCAGTCTAGAATAAAGGTAAGGTTTTACTACATTTAGAGAGGCAAGGGGAGCTAGATAGTGTTTTAACACTATAGGGTCAGGGAAATGTGTATTCCTTTAATATTCTGTTTCAGACATGGTAAATGAACATTCAGTCTCATTGAATGGGATTAGCGGGATTAACAATGATGGAACATAAGGAATTGTGAAGGCTTGTGAATGGTTAGCAACCAGTTATGTATTTTAACACTGCTTTGAGGGCAATCAGCTGTCTAAACCATCTGGCCAAATATCCCTTTGTATACAATTGGTAAGAGTGGAAATGGGAAGCAGGAGATCAGAGGGAGGAGAGGAAGACACAAATTAACATTTTCATGGTGTATTCTTATCTTAAGTCCCTGGGAGGGGCACTTGTTATTTTAAGTAAGTCCAATGTCTACATTTTCCATCAAAGGACTTTAATTTTGCATATATCTGTCAGTGTGGCATATTAGTTGTGTGGTTAGTGATTCCATGCTACTGATTTTTTCCACTTTTGTCACTCATTGCTGGAGGGTAGGCACCTCTCTCCATTTTTAAAACAGAGGGATAAGTAATTTCACTGCATTTAGAAGTGTGAGTGCCTTTTAATATTTTGAGATAGGGAGTATAGTGTGATATAACAATTTGGGTAGGGGACAGAAATGCAAATCAATGAGATTGTGGCATGACTCTGTTTCCAGTAGAGAATTAACTGAGGGTATGTTAACCAAATGTAAAAGCCTGTTCCATTCCCCCCCACACATACACATCTCCATCAACAATGAATGTGTCAATAGCTTGTATCCCTTCTCCTGCATCTTAGAGCATATAGAGCCTTGGTGCATTAGGATGAAAATCTCCCATTTTCATTCCGTCAACTGCTGGTTCACATCCAACTCCCAGCGTGTGGTTAATTTCAGAGATAGTCCTGGTATGGTATTTTTCAGGAGGGCATGTAGGGTGAATATACACCTAATCACATGCTCTCAGGAGGAACAGAATGTCCAAATTTGGGTCTGATCCCTATTAATTTTTTTTATTTGGAGTTGAGTCTTAGAACCTTCAGATTTGATGATATCTATATTTATATATTGCCCTTTGGAATGCCATCTATCATGGTCAGCAAGGGGTGTCAGCTCATCTGGATTACACCATTGTCTGTTGTAGGTCCAATCTGACGTTCCCAATGCCTAAGGTTCAGTGGGTATGAGCCCACCTGCAATGTCCAGGTTATGTTTTATTGGTGTAAGTGAAATGGGTGTCGTAGATAGTTGAACAGGGAACCGGATTGTTCACCATATTTTAATCATAGCTCATGTACATGGGTTGCTCAGCTTTAGGCCTCATAAGGCAGTCTGATCCCCAAACCACAGAGGGAATCTGTCCCATTGCCTGTCTTTTCTCCAGATCTATTCACAATTTCTGGGTAGATGACACATGCCAGTCAATCACACTCAATAAGTGAGTCGCTTGGTGGCAACACATAATTGATGACAACCCTCCACCTCCATGCATGGGAAGGTTGTGTGTGCCTAATTCTTGGGGCACCTTTATGCCTGATGTATTGGAGTATCGAAGAACTTGTATCTTTAAATGGTTTTCATGTTTAGATGTTTACTTTGTATTATTGCCGATATATTTACTCACATATACAAATCGCTAAACTGGATATATTGTAATTTGACATTTAGCTTTTCTACATTTAGCTTGTTCAAGTCAGCTATGCCTCCAGTTCAGTTACTTTGGCCTTAAATTTGAAATTCTATTTGAACAGAGTATAAATATTTGTACAGAAATGTTGTTTGCTCCTCTAAAGTTTGAGACCAAAGCAGCAAACCTACAGCTTCAGTTATAAGTAAGTCTCATAACCTAAACATTGAGTAAAGGTTGTTGTGGTGCCAAGTGTGTGCGTTTAATAACATACTATGATTCAGAGGAATGAGACTGAGTACTTACTTGCTAATTTTTAAAATATCACCAGGTTTAAGACAATACTTCTCTTGCAGCTTAGAATGGTTTCCATCATGTAGTATCAGCTGGTCGTTGGCAAGCAAAACATGACGCACTATTTCTCCAACATACGTCAGACTGACCATCTTTTCAAAACTGCATGAGGTATGAAAAGCAGTGAGGGCTACCATCCAATATGACATGATAGATGTTTTACACTGGGGAAGTATGTATATGATATCAATAGATAAAGTAATATATTGCCACTACTGAAAATGACCTCACTTACATTCTAGCTGATTATCATTATCATTCATTTATCAGCTGTTTATAGGCTCCCGATAAGCCATTAGGTTTGCAATTTGGTTTTAATTTTGCTGCAAACTAGCATTTAATGACTAATGATGGTCTCATCCAATCAGTGGCCATCCAGTTAACCCCAAAGTGCATTAAACTAACTTTATGATTTTTTTACATTTTTTGGCTTTATTATTCCTATAGTTAAACATATTTTTTTTCTGCTGTAAAACTCCACTTTATATCTTCTGGGGTTCTTCCTTGCAAATCCTGCAAATGTATTCACTTGCCTTCCTTGCGCTTCTATTCGAAGCTACAGGACATAACTTCTTTAACGGGTGTAATAAATTAACATCAAAGAACATTAATGCAAAAAACAGGTCACTATGTAAATTCTCATTTAAAGTGTGTAATTTATTTACAGGTAGTCACAGCAAGTGACCTACATGCCAGCAGTGTAACCGAATGGTGTACCAGACAAAACACTTGCTCCCAAATTACATTTATGACTTTAAATTGTCTAGGGGTTTAAATAATAACTCTAAATAACTCTAAACATGACAAACAAGATGAGCATTTTTGCAAAATACAGAAACACTCCATTGAATTAAGTTGTTATGGTGCAGGAGGTCCCTCGGGCCAGATTACCTTTAAGGGTTAAACCATTCATGAACCCCGAATTCCAAAGTTTTGCATACAGGACTATTTAGCTCTGTCCCAAGCCTTCCACTGTATCTCTAACCATCAAATAGGGGCACTGCTGGTTGGTTGGTAGTGTCAGCTGATGTTCTAAGCCAGTCAGTAGTTCCCCATTGATAAAAATGGCTTTGTATTATTCTCAAGCTGTTTTGTGAATGGGAAATTACTGATCAGCTGATGCTGTCAGTCAATTAGCAGCATCCCTGTCCGAGGCAGTTTGAGGCTTCCTGTTTCAAAATCAGAGAGCAGTTGAAGGGCAGGGGTCAAGCTAAAGAACGCTGGATTAAAAACTTTAGGGTTAAACCATTTGTGAACTGTAACCCTACACAATAACAACTTAATTCTGATGATGTTTTCATGGTGCCCAGGGGGTCCTTTTAAGTGGTATTTCTAAGGTAATTGTCTCAAACTTCACAAAAACTTCCCAAATTATAATATCATTGGCAATCTCACCACTGAATTCCTCGTTTCTCAGACTCCTTATCTACTTTTTGATCGTATATTGTAGAGATAGATTGAAGATCTCCGTAATCACCAAATGAGCCCCACTCCACTTTCACACACCGTCTCCAGCTATTCAAGTCATCCTCATTCCCCTTCGTATTTTCCATTTCCATATAACAAATATTACTACTGTTGTCTGTAGCAAGAGAAACCAACATGTGATCAGCTCATACATGAATGTGTTACATAGGTGCATTATTTAGATGAAAAGTAAAAACCATCACATTTTACTATTCTCTCATCAGGGTAGGTTTCAGGGAAATAATTTCATGGGAAGTTCAAATAATTTGAAACAGATTAACAGATTTGATCTTCACATTGCAATAATTTATATAAATAAGATATCATAAAAAAATATTCCCATTGCACACTGCATGTGTAACGTGTCCTGACTGCATACAATGCCCTCTAAAAGATTTCGGTGATAAGAGGTACAAGGACAATTAATATCATTTTAAACCGTACGTCCCCCCCCCTCTTGCTCCCTGGACTTTCTGGTGGTGGGACTATACCCAATGCACTCACCTCTGCTTGTCAGTTTTTTCCAACTTTTCTTTCAGTGCTGTCACAGACGGGAAAGGACTAAGATACCACAAGTCCCTAGATAGGTTACCATTTGGGGTCATTTAGGGCCAAGCACATTTATGGTTCCAGGGCATCTGTCTCACCCTGGGCCCTAGTCAACTGCGTAGGGTCTCCTTAAGGTTAAACCTGCTCTGATCACAATTGTCAGTTACTTTACTGACCAACTTCTAGAACAACCTGAACCTCAGAAGTTGAGCATATGAAAGGGGTTCCTGATGCCTAATGCACTGGGAACCAAACTATTGGACTGCTATATCTGTTAGTTAGATCAGAGGCAAAATAATGAAGTAATGAAATCTGTTATTTTAAATGGGAGGCTTGGGAACAGTGCAGTCATGTGTCTGAATTAAAATTGCCTTTGGAAATGACTGTGAAGTCAGTATATATAAAATCAAGAATACATATTGCACCAAACAATAGAAAATTGTGTTTCTAAATAACACTGCTAAACTGTTAAAAAAAAAAAATCAATCCAACTCCCATAACAGCTACAGATTATTGAAGATGTTATGGGGCTGGAGTGTCCGGGCAGCGTTTTACCTCCAGGGGTTAAAACCTCTTCCAAGGTTTAACCGGGAAGTCCCCCCCCATGCGCCTAACACTCCAGCCGGTGATGCACTCGGCCTATCACTGCCTATTGAGAGAAATAGTATGTCCTGAGTAGGGCTGGATTTCCCATAAGCCCGCCGACGCTATGGTCTCGGGAAGACAGACAGGGGAGTGGTGGCACTGCTGGAACTCTGTAATGTTGTTGATTCAGTAGGAGTACTTGGGCGACAAGGAAAAGTGCTCATTCCCCTTCTCGCCCAGCGCCCACAGAGGCAGGTCCTCTCTTCCCAGCAGTCAGCCAAAGGAACTGCAGGACAGCATGCGGAGATGACATCAGCGTCATAACCTGTGTGAACTCCTGAAACCAAAGAAGCAGCAAGAATATCTCCTCTGCTCAGGCTCGTTCTGGGATACAATAAGTATTGATATTATTTTGATTTCTGCTTTCCACAGAGGCTCTTAGATCCTGCAACATACTGTGAAAATCCTATCTCGTCTGTAGTTTTGTATATAGAGGTCGCAAGTAGTCCTATTCCCTATAAACAATTTTAATTCAAATTAAACAATACCAAATTTGTCTTATTAATATAAATGTTGTATTCCTTTAACTTTGTGTTCACTTATTTTTAGCCATTTTATCCCTTTCTGTTACTCTAAACACTATATCCTCCTGATAACCAGCCCATTAACACGTGTCCTCCGTACTGGACTTTTTGTTCACATGCATCTCCTTTTATTTGTTTGAGCTACTCTATCAATCCCTGCTGTATTGTAAAGAGGGCATCCTGGGCTTTCCACTGATATGTAATGTGATTGGCTGGGATGCTGGGGACTTCCTAGGTAGGAAATCACACAAAAAAGAATTTGGAAGAAATTTTATTTCCCTTGGTTCCCAGGAGGATATTGCACTTACCTACAATGAGGCCAGCTTCACAGTCAGAATGGTTGAAACCACAATTCATCATTGTTCCAACAGTGTCATTAACAAAAGTGATATGTTTTGGTTCATAATTCTAGAAAGAAGGGAAATTGCATAGAAACATAAAAATTCTCAGCCTTGCATAATAGTGTAGCCTATATTAACCAGCAGAGAACAGTGAAGTGGAGCTAAGATTTTAGAAGATCAGTACAAAGAACATCGTCAGGAGTAGGGTGGAGGGTTTACAATGAATAGAGCTGTTAAGTTAAAGAAACTTGAGAGAGCTTTGAGACAAATCAATATTGAGTTAGTCTAACAATATTGTTCAGTTACACTCAGAGTTTAAGATAGCTGAGCTTAAAATATTTAGATAGCTGAGCTTAAAATATTAAGTTAAAATGTATATTTATTTATAAGGTATATGTATGTTTAAGTGTATACATGTTCATGTAGCCTGGATATGCAACATTTAATATAAACTCCAGTCTTACCTCTTGCTTAAATATGGCCTTACGTAGTAACTGCACCATGTTCCTATTTTCCACTCCTTGATAAAAAACTCTTTTTGACCATGAGATGAGAATGCTCTGATTAAAGACATCGATATTAAAAGTTATTTTCATCATGGTCCACACAATAAAACAAAATAATAATATTGCATTGACTACAAGGTTGGTTATTATTTCCTTGCACGTAAAACACCAACATGTTCTGCAGCAATGTACAATTTAAAGGAGACCACTCAAGTTAGCACATAATAATAAATACCTTCCAGCACAGACATATTTGTTCAAAAGCAGCTTATTAAAAATGTTTTCCCTATGTCATGTATTCATCATTTATTTTTTTTCAGTTAACATTTAATGAGGTGCTGAGAGGTCATGGGCATAACAACGAAAAGATATCAATGTCCTAAATACAAAATACTGAAATACTGTTTCACCAGTCATTTAAAATACAGTGTTAATGTCAACCAGACTAAACATGTTCTTTATGAAAGAGAACTACAGGAAAACAATATCTTGTAAAATGAAAAAGAAGAATGGAAAGTGAAAATAAAAGTAGGCAGAGCTGTACCTAGGTTACCTGGCACCCGGACAGATATGTATATTGGCACCCCTCACCCTGAACTATAGAAGGTGCCCTTACGAATCCTTTTGTAAAGGAAATTACACACATACATTCATTCAAACATGCAAACATTCACATACACACATTCACACACAGACTCATATGCACATATTCACATTAATATACACAATAATACTCACAGTCAAACACTGACACTCACATTCGATATATATATATATATATATATATATATATATATATATATATATAAATCAGTTCTTCTGGTGTCTGGTGGATTGCTGCTGGGATCACTCTGTGCCCCGATTGCATGGATCCCTGGAGTTCTTTACCGATCCCTGGGCTGGGGTGATGTTATATCCCGACTTCCAGCATTAGTACACAGAGACAAGATAGCTATGCAGCCATTGCCTAGACTGAATCCAGCAGCACCCCAGATATCCACTCAACAGTCTAATCAATGCTCTACTTAAGCTCTAAACCAGCAGAGCCAGAACTTGTCATCGCCAGTGGACATGTACCACCAGGAGCAGATAGTCTCCATTGACCCTGCCCTAGGAGCCCCTGTGAGTAGGAGTATAGCTTGAAAGGACAGGGAAGTTAGGAAGAATATGAAAGAAA